TGACTTTCTACTATGATGAGTGGTGGAGTGGGATGGACTGATGAGAGTGCCTGTCTGAAGGGTGACCGAGCTGAGGTTGACTGGTTGGTGGTAGGATGATGACATCATCGACTTGGGGGTCTCTGCTTGGGGGAAAGCTGCCGATCGAGTTCACTCTTAGCTCTCTCGGGAGTCCACGGGGGTCCAGGTCTATGCACCCGGCTCAGGCTCCGAGCCTCCGGCACGGCGTCCTCGGTCCAGAGCATCGCGAGGGGGGTTAATCCTCCGGGAGTAGATAGTGAATATGCATCGAAAACCACCGGAGCAAAAAAAGGGTGTGCCCGGCCAAATCGTGATATCTGCCAACTAACTAGCATCAACTCATCCCGGAAACATCCTCAGCAAGCTCATCTCCTTCTAGGAAGAACCACCGGTGTGCATGTAGAACGGTAAATGCTTAGCAAAAAGGTAGAAACTCACCGAGCATTCTCCAGAAAAAGGCGCCGCTTCCAGCTTGAAGATTTGCCGTATCGAAACCTTGTCACCCCGCACTAGGGGCAATTGTGTAGGCCGAGCCTTATCATGGTGCACTCATACATAATTCTCCCCGAAATTCGTAACATCTCCGTTGTAGCTACATATGCGACTTGGGAAGGCTCCGGTAGCACAAGGACAACATAGACTTATTTATTTCGATTTATTAGAGAAAATATGTAACTTCGACTTCCTCGAGGATCCTCCTCAGCTGAATGACTATGACATCTCTTCCACATCGTTTTTACCTTGGCAAAAAAAACGTTTCATTGAACTCAAAGCAGTCAATCTCCACGAAGGAACCGAACCATTAGAACGAACGAACACGAGGATCTTAGGTTGGTTTACCTGCTGTGAGTCTCAGAATCTCGATGTTTTGCATCGGCTTGCATGTCTAATCTTATAGATGAACCTCTGCTTGCTCAGAGCCTCCGGGTATTTGCTTCCCTCTAAGCTCTTCATCGATATCCAACCAACCTTCCGCTTTCTTCCCAGCTCTACTTCGGTGTGTATTGGTGAACTTGCCTTAAAGGTCGTCGATGAGGCTCATGTGGTGAGCTACTTGTGGAGGCTGGTCATGTCTCAGCAAATTTATTGGAATGCTGGACTCATAAGTACACCATGTGAGCCTCGTCGACGGCGATCAAGGCTAGTTGACTTGAATCGATACTACAGAAGATCAACAATGGGGATTTTATTATTTGTTGCCTTAAATTGTGAGTCTCGTTTTTTATGGGCTTGCACGACCAATTGATTCTGACACATGGCTGTTGGATCAGAGTTTTGAGGTCCTTCTCAACCGGCTCGCTTTCAATGGAGCTCTTCTCCAGTGCGGAAGAGCGAACTTGCCTGGATGGTCGTTGATGGGACCCATCTGATCAGCTACTTGTGCGGGGTGGTTTTGTGGAAGCAGAAGCCAAACTACCATACTTTGAATAGTCATCACGACCACTCAGACTGTCGGCCTGTTTGACTCAACCAACCCCTGTGAATAGCTCATATGGGCCTCATCTACGACAACCAAGGCCAGTTGACTTCAATCCGCACTTGAAGCAGGCCAAGAATGGCGAGTCAAGTGTTGTATGTATCATTGTATACCTTGTGTGAGTCTCGTTATTTTTTGTAGGCTCATGCGATCGATGAAGCTTACTGGCGCATGGCTGCCATATCGGAGTCTGAAGATCCTTCTAGACTGTTCGCCTTACATGGACTTCCTCGTCATTGTGGATCGGTGGACTTGACTTGAAGTGTCGTCGATGAGGTTCATGTGATAAACTACTCCTGTGAGGCTTGGTTGCGCTGAAGCAAACCAAAAACCATAGCTCTTCCTATCATGAGAACTGTTTGGTCTACCAAGCATCGCAAGTATATCATGTGGGCCTCATCGACGGAAATCGAAGCCAGTTTACTTAAATCTACACCGAAGAAGATCCAGGACGCGGTGTTTCGCCTCAAGTGTATTCTTCTGGCGTGAGTCACAACGCTGTTGACACGCTCGTTTGACCAATCAAACCTGACAGATGGCTGCTAAATCAGTCCTGATATCCTTCTAAATCGTTGGATTTTCACCAAGCTCTTCGATGAGGATTAGCGAGCTGCGTTGGACGGTCGTCGACGAGGTTCATGTGATCGGCTACTTGAAGGGCTTCGTTATGTCCAAGTAAACCGGAAAAGCAAAACAAGACTTTGGGCCGTGATGCGGACCATTCGGTCCCTTGGCTCGCTTGACCTCATCAAATTCCGCAAGTAGATCATGTGGGCCTCATCGACGACAATCTGGCTCAGCTGACTTGAATCAACATCGACGAGCTTGGGAATAAGTGGTTTTGAATCGAGTATTTTCTGTGAGTTTTGATGTTGCTATCGGCTCATGTGCTCAATGAAGCCAACAACCGTTCTCAGGTTCCGACGTATTCCTCACGAGACCGATCTTTACTGAGCTTTGCTGCTGGACCGGGGCTCCGAGTAATGTCTCAACTGTTTGATAACCACTCAGATCTTCATCAGAGTATGGAATGGGTCAGCTTGCTTTGATGGTCGTTGATGAGGCTCATATGGTCAGCTACTTGTGGGGCTGGTCATGTTCAACAGATTGCTTGACTTAACCAACCCCTGCAAGTAGATCATGTGGGCCTCGTCAACAACAATTGAGGCCAGTTAACTTGAATCCATACCAAATTCGACTAAGAATGTGCCGCTTTCTATGAAATAGCTCGCGTGAGTCGTGATTCTCTTCTTAAACTTGTGTAACACCAATAGAGCTTACTGATACAGACTCACTGCCCAGTTCGCTATTGACTGAGCTCCTCAGTATGGTCAAACAGTTTTGACGGTTGCCGACGGGGCGCATGTGATCAGCTGTTTGTTGGGGTTGGGCAGGTCTAAGCAGCATCAAAAAATTGCAAGACTTAACTCTCATGAGGACTGATCGGTCTGTTGAGTTATGTACTTGACCTGATCGACTCCCGCAAGTAGATGATATGTGCCTCATTGATGGCAACCAAGGTCAGTTTTCCTAAATCCAGAATGTGGATCTTTAAACTGCTATGAGTTTCAATGTTTTGCTTACTGGCCCAAAGTAGAATTTTTCTCAATGGTTTGCTTTGTAAATGATGCCAACTAGCAATACCAAAAAAAATGACATTTTTTGGTGAACTGTTGAAATTCTGTTTGATTTGTTCTCTTATTTTACTCATGACTCTTTCGCTATACTTGATTGTTATTCTGACTTATTTTGAACTTCTTAGACCATTATAGTCTTATGTAGATCTGTTTTGTATGATAAGAGATCCTTTTGTAGTCAATAAACCTGGGTATTAACCCTCTTATCAACAGCCATATTCTTCTCTTTGTCTAATTATATTCATTATTGATTATATTTATCTTGATGAAAATACATTATTATAAACAATTCTTGAGCATCTTGTAAGTATTCTTTTTAATAATGGATGATGTGTTCAAATCAGTAAGGATAGTTTGTAATGTTTATGTTGGCTTTGTGCCTTGAAAATCTTGACTATTGAAGGACTTGAAGACTCATCCCTTGAGGATTACCTTGTGCCTTGGGTCCATTCTTTATTTCTGCTATCAATGGTGTCCAAAACTATTAAAAATGTATAGTGTAAGGGGGTGGAAACTGGAGGAGGAATTCTGACCTACTATTTGAGTCTTATGCTTTTGAATATGTTTTTTTTTCTTGGAGCACAATGAAACTTGCTTTACCCATGTATAAATCCTTCAAGGTCGGCACCACAAGCTGGTTATTCTGACAAGTGAATTGTTTTCATCAGAGACAGCAGGATTTGGACACATAGGTAGCTAACTAGTATACCATGACTGAGGGCTGATTGATCTTATTAGGGTGTAACTCTCTGCCTCCTAACACCCTCAACAGCCACCCATCAAAATTCTGACCCCATGACACACCTTAGAGCATCTGCATTCATTGAGCTAAAACCAAGCAAGTTTTGACTCAAAGCTTTTGTTAAACTACAATAGCAACCACCGGTTGAACACATTGATGTGGCTTCTAACAATGTGGTTTGAAAGTGTGTAGTTTTCTGGTGAGGGTGCCAACTTGAAGTGTTGGCACAACTTAGCTTTTGGCTAGCTCAAAAGCCAACCATTGCTACATGTAACAAGGGTTAGCTGTAAATTTAGCTGATTGCCAGGTTAGCTCAATGTTAGCTTAACCTGGTGTGGTTGACATCAGTGGCTAAATTCCTCATCTCAAGCGGAAATAGTCAACTGATGCAGATCCTCTTACAATGAATATGGTTATTCTAACTCCACAAGTATATGTAATTTTTTTTGAATGCTTTCACTGCCAAATGGATACAATAGAGAAAAAAACAAAATGGTCATGGTCAGAAAAGAAATCATCATGAGGATAAACAAAAAAATAAAATGGCCTGGTCTTGGGTAGGCTGTTGACTATCTTGGGTAGGATGTCAACAGTCTTGGGTAGGCTGTTGACCATCTTGTTCAAAGTCCTGGCAGGCTGATGACTGTCTTGGTAAATTTGGTTGTAAAATTCTGTTGACCATTCTGACTGATATAATGAATTCTGCAGCTCTGGACTTTTCTCATGCCCCTGTTGTATTTGAAAACCCCATGGTGATCTCAACTACTGACTACACTCCAGTTCAGCTATTTGAACATTGACTGCCACCAACAAATTAACAGTAACAGGCTACATTGGAGAGCAACAATTCAACTAAAAACCACATTTAGTCTTGGATTTTTGACCATTGAACCAAACTAACGCTCCGTTTGGCCGCCCAAAATATTATATATTGTTAAATTCAAATCACAATAATCAGATTTAAGATTTTTCAACCTTAATCTGATTATTACACAACTGTGCAAATCCATTATCACAGCACATATTGGTCCAGTCCAGAATGTGCCTCTTGGCTGGAGAATATAAGCAATCAACATATTTTGTAATGAACTTCATGTCATGATGCGGCCAGCCAAACAGTCTTCTCAATATTGTTATAATTCCTGCCCCCCCCCTGACATAATCTGCAGGATTTTTGAATATCACTATATAATATTCTGGGCGGCCAAACGGAGCCTAACTTTTTTTCCTGAGGCCCATCTGAGACCTTCTCAGTCATGGACAGTGTTTCTTTTGACCACCCAGGTGCTGGTTTTGCCTGCCAAGTGTCACTTGGATGCTCCCAAAAGCATCCAAGTGATGCTTGGATTACCAGAGCATCAATTGGATGCTCTAATAGTAACCCTTGGATAATTTTTTTTTCTTGAACCATCCATTGGCTGGCAGGGTTTTCTTCTAAAAACCTGCACCATGGTGTAGTGTGAGGCTTAATCTATTACTCTAGCTGCTAGTGGCTATGAAGTTTACTGAGAGCTAAAATTGCCTAAAGCTTGGAAATAATGAATAAGAAATAAGTTCTCTTTGTGGCCACTATGAAAAACTGAGATGAGGCAAGAGTGTAATAATCTTGATTTTTATTGAGTACTAGTATATGCCCCCAAATTTGGGGAGGCTGGTTGTTTTTGCCCCGGATGTTGGGGGTTTTACTTGTTTGAAGGTCCTATGGTGTAATAGCCTTCACTTTTGAAATTGTAAAGTCTTGGTGAATGTCGGAAATGACATTGAAATGTGCAACATCGACGCCGGCGTTAGAAGCCGCATGAGAAATCAATACAAAGGCTGACAGTTTGTTTGGCCCTCTGAGGGCATTTTTTAGTTATATGTAGATAATG